ATTGTGGTTGGTCGGCAAAAGTTGGATTTCGTGACTAAATTTTTGGTCACTAAATATTTAATTACCGCGACTAATTTATTTTGTCGCCAAAACACTTTGGTCGCGAAAAGTGATATTTTCCCGACCAAAAAGTTTGGTCACCAATTATCACATTCAACGACCAAAAAGTTTGGTCGCCAATAGTGACATTCCGCGACCAAAAATTTGGTCGCCAATCGTGACATTCCGCGACCAAAAAGTTTGGTCGTCAATTGTGACATTCCATGACCAAAAAAGGTTTTGGTCACCATTTGTTAATTTTCACGACCAAAACTTTTGGTCGGCAAAAGTGAGTTTCCACGACCAAGAGCTGTTTTGGTCGGCAATAGATGTATTTTTTGCGACCAAAACTCTTGGTCGGCAATTGTCATTTTTTGCGAAAAAAAATAATTTATTTGTCACGACTAATAAATTGGTCGCGAAAGCAGGAAAACAATACACCTATAATTCCTAATAATTCATTCAATCCATAATAAACTTATAATTTTAAAGCATCATTCAAATTAACTGAATCATTAACATTCGACACAATACAACTATTCTAAATTTTCATTCACAAGTCACATCCATCTAGCATAACAAATTGAAACAATACATAATTCAGATTTACAGCATCAGGAAAATTGCTTAATCCACTAAGTTGCCTTGATAGCCAATCAAAAAATCCTTGCGCCCTTCCGTGCCACGCTTCGCATCCATCAAAGCAGTAGTGATGTAAGGCACCTAATAAAGAAACAGAATTGGAAAATTTATCAGAGAAGCATGATAGTGGCAGCAACACTGGATTGCAAACCCGTATCTTTGCAAAAATCAATTAAATCCTATAAACATGTACATCGTATTGAGACAACTAGCTAGGGGTGGGCGCGGATCGATTGTGGCCACGGAACCTCTAATCCGCCATCCGTCCGCCAGATTGGCGGATTGGAGAAAATCAATCCTCATTCGTCCGCCAATCCGGCGGATGCGGATTGAGCGGATGAGCGGATTGGCGGATAGATACGAATCGGTTTGGCGGTTTAAAAGTTTACAAATTTTCAACATAATTTAATTGTGTGCGCACTATGTATTCCAGAGGTGTGCGCACTAAATAAGACCTAAGATTTCTAGTTTCGGAAAGCAGTTAACACATAGTAGGAATGCAACTATGTATTCCAGAGGTGGGAAGGGATTCACATCCTTACATTGTGGAAATTATTCCCAGGTAAATTAGAAAACTCTAGACAGAAATGGCTTCTTATAACCCAGTCAAGGACATGCATTTAAAATCTCGCAGTGGTGAATCGAGAAGACCATAGCTAGGACCCTTCAACTCATGTTTCAGCCTATATTCAAACCCAGTCCCTATTTGAGTAAGGCTTTCCTTTGATTGCTGAAAGACCTGGGGCTAAAAATAAAAGTAAAAATGTATATTTATTCAAACTTTGAATCTCAAATCTTGTGTCATTTGGAAACCAAGAGAAGATAACATCCAGCAGTGGAGTGCAGATCATTTTAATTTTCACTATAAGAAACAACATAAAACACAATTTTTTATTTCATTTTTGTTTCTTCTCCTTTATCAGCGATCAACCCCACAATAAATGAGGCGTTAGAAAGAAACCATAAACAGGACTAGCATATACTTTGTGTTTTTGGAGGATGCATTAACTGATGAGCAGGGATGTATTCTTGATTGTATTAATCAAAGCAAGAAACAACACATATTGGAGCCTCTCATATGCATATATCATTCAACAATAATATAACTATTAACAATTTAGGCATAAGAATGGAACTTATAGTCATTATTTGTCTGCGCTGCTACAAGTAAAATTTGGACAGAAACAACCAGCAAACAGATCTGAATTCTTGAACCCATTATTCAAGAAAGAACCACAGAGATTCTTGAGCTCACTGAATTACAATGAAAACACTTCGCAACCACTCAATTCATTCCTTCAGTTCCTATTGTTCACTATAACTCTTCAATATAAGAAAGTTCTTCACGACTGTAATCAACATATGCATAGCTGCAATTAGAAACAATATGAAAGCACATGGATACACAAATTATTTGTTCAAGTAATTACAATACAACAATTGCAATCTAATTTTTCCTTCATAGAAAATAAATAAAACAGAAAAAAAAAATTGCAGTTTAGTTTACTGGTTGATTGCAGCACCGGAATCAATATGAAATAATTGTAAATATGAAGGGTTTGTGAGAGAAAACTTGCTAGTCTTGTAGATACCTCAAGAAGGAGAAAGATTCAAGGACCATGGACGAGTTTGATTTTTGACTTATAGATTAGTCATTAGGGGCAAGAGCACTAGTACCTTCACTGAGGAACTAATTTCCACTTGGGTCATTTTCAAGGAAGCTGTCAGACAAGTTGCCAATTGTGCGTCATGATAATCAATGCTACCAACTTTTTTACAAAAATGTTCTGAAATGTTCATCCATTCAAGGTATAACACATTAATGCACACAATTTCAACACAATTTCAACAGTGAAAGCCCTAATTAATTAGCAGAACATAGTCGAAGCCCTAAAAAAATAAGCAAATCTCTACAAAGACAAGAAGAGAAGAGAAGAGAAGAGAAGAAGCTGAAGCCCTAATTACTGAAAAAATAACAAAATAAAAACATAGAACACAGTTGCCGATCACCGATCAAAGACAAAAAGTGAAGAGAAGACAAGAGAAGATTACCTTTGAATCGATGCTTCGATCGCTGCTCGCCACCACCACTGTCACCGATCGTCGCTAGCCACCATTGTCACCGACGCCGATTGTTTCTCGTCTCCTCCATTCAAGTGTGAGCACATCTGATGCAACAAGTAATGGTTTACTATCACATACTCCCACAACACGCAAGTGCACTCCCTGCTCAAAAATTGCTATCCCCAAATTAAATTTGTCAAAAATATAAGCATAAAATTATTTATATTTCATATCTAACCATGTTTTGTATTTGAAGAGGTCAATCTAATATTGAAACTTCAAAAAATTAAAAAATTCAAATTATAAAAAAGAGAACGTAAAGTTAAGATAGCCATCAAACAAAAATCCATCCTACGAATGGCAAGCCTTAATGAAGGTCATGTCATCAAATGCACAATTTACTTAGTTATTGAAGGGAAAATCTACACAAATGTCAAATTACCAGAATTACAAATTTTCAGATCAAACATAAATCCATTAACTTTACACATTCCCCGGTATTCTGTGCAACTCATCAGTTGGGCTTAGATGTAAGTATGCACAAGCTCAAAAGACACTCATAAATCATAGAAGTCAATGTTGTTAAAACCAAGACGCAGTCTTGTTGCATTATATTCCCTTTCCACTTAATTCAAATAGTATAACAAACTAATACAGTAATCACAGGGTGTTTGATATCCCCTTTAACTGAATTACCTCATAGAGTCTTCCATCTAATTCAGAGGCCCATGATTGACAATACAGTCATGACAACAAAAGTAAAATCAATGCTAAAAGGAATTTTTTCAATGATAATTGACAACAACAAAAGTAAAATCAATGCTAAAACGAGCCTAGAAAAAAATAATAATAAAAGAAAATAAAATAAAAACGGAAGGAAACCAACAACAACAACAACAACAAAAAAATAGTAAACCAAGACAGTTGCCATCATTGGATTGCCAACTTGCCATTTAAAAAGTACTTTTCAGAGAAACAAAATAAAAAATATGGTTCTTGAATGCTCTATATAATTTAAATGATCTTTTACCTTAGAGATATTCTATCATGTACTTTTCAGTTGGATTATATCACATTCAGGGTCGGCCCTAACTTGGGAATTAAAGATACCTCATATTGGTGCAATTTTTGAGAAATGAGGTTAGCATATTCTAAGAAGTCGGTTTCAGACTTGGGAATTAAGTTGTCAACGGACTTCTCATTGCCACTCTCTGTAAATAGTTCTTCACTAGATTTAGGATCGCCCTCGTCAGCAATTCTACAATAAGAGAAGCAATGGTACAAAACATTAGACACATTGTTACAAGAAATAATGCCAACCACGGAAAATTTAGACTTCTCAACTTCCAAACTCGTGAAAACAGAAATGAATGGAGAAGAAACGAAAATGGAAACATTATGTGGACATACAAAAACACACTACTGCTCAAAATAATGGAGTTCAGAAACATGAACTGACAAAGAAAACAATGATTTACATAATAGTGTAAGCATTGTCGCAACTCATTAACATAAAAGAACAATTAAGAATTATCAATGGCTAAAACCAAACAAAATAATTCCCAATATCGAATTCCAGGAGAACATTTCGAGTTCACAATCTATCAGCAACTCATTAACATAAAAGAACAATTAAGAATTATCAATGGCTAAAACCAAACAAAATAATTCCCAATAACAAATTCTAGGAGAACATTTCGAGTTCACAATCTATCAGCAACTCATTAACATAAAAGAACAATTAAGAATTATCAATGGCTAAAACCAAACAAAATAATTCCCAATAACAAATTCCAAGAGAACATTTCGAGTTCACAATCTGTCAGCAAGTGGCTCCATGTGATGTTGTTTATATAAGAGATGTACAAACATGCTAAATTGCTAGAACCGATTTAAGTACTTGTTAAATATAACAATTACCAAACTAATATTTCAAGTGCACAATTCATATGCAAGAAGCACCATGTGATAAACTTAACGGAACAGTCAACCAAAAAAAATTCAGAATTTCATTTGAAATCCAAACTGAATTTGATAAACATGTACGATTGGAATCTCATGATATATAACAAAGACCATTTAAGCACTACAGAATCAGAACCTTGGCCTTGATTTATTGCAATAATAAGGAAAAAGGAAATAAAAATATTAAGACACAACTACATAAATGAATTATTTAAGCATAACTACATAAATTGTCCCCCATGCAATGGATCTGGAAAGACAAAATCAAACTGCTGTTCCTAATAGTAAGCAGAAAGAAACCTTCTCTTGGTTGTTCACTGTGTCTTACAAGGTGACACAGCTGATAATATGCAGGATCTTCCTCCCTTAATTTCTTCAGTATCCTCATCAGCTTTCTTGGCATTTCAGTATCACGCTCACACAGATTAACCTGATTTTCAAGATTTAACCCCCCCTCAAAAAAAAAGGAAGAATGAATACAGCATCAGGGGAGGTCAGTTACAGCATATAAGAAAAGCAGCAGGAAAAAAAAAAGGCCTTTTAAGTATCGCTAGATGTACTTCACAAATTTAGAAGAGTCCATGTAGCATACAAAGCAACTATAGTCTATGTGGCATAAAATAACCTGAAGAAGAAGGGAATAAAACAAAGGAGAAAAATGGAACACAATTCAAACCACTATAGTAGTATCCTAATTCAAAAGCAATGGTCTCTTCCATCCCATAGCAGTTTTATCTGCAGAACTATCTGCATAGGATCCTGCCTTTTACCATTGAAATGAACATCATTACGATCCGTAGCCCACTCAAACTCAAACTGACTGACACTAACACATATAAAGCAAACTGAAACATTCCCTTCATACACACCTAGCATACTAAATCCTACATGAATTGCAAATACAGTAAAGTCCTTAACTCTTACATTATACCTTCTTTAACTTCCTTCCCACATCTTTAGTACTATTATAGTTTCTCATGTTTACTCAAAACTTCAAGAATTTTTTGATTTTGAAGGTCCAAGCTATATATAGTGGTGACACATAGGTTATAAAAGCTTATTCTAGTCTTGCCTTGCATCATCGAGACAAAGCAGAATTTAAATCCCTCAAAGCTTAAAAAAGGCATAGAAAAAAGGTGCACATCCACAGAGTCTCAGGAGAACACATTATATGAATTGTATGTATTTATCACATTTCATTAAAATTCATATCCTATAGGAGAAAAATGAAATGGAGATTGAAAAGGTAGCACATAGATATATTTCCAGAATGAACAAAATCTCTCTTTACCTTTTGGTATACCAGCGACTATTACTGTTGCCATATCTCCAGAATGATAATCCAGGAACTTGTGAAAGCAGAGATTCAATGACCCTTGCAGGAACTATTTTGTTCACTATCCCCATTTCAGTTCCCACTGGTTGACTATCAAAATCTCGCCAAAACTTAATAACATGGAGACTCTCCTCTTCAGTTGATCTCTGCACAACAATTCTGGATGCATAACCCTTCTCTCTCATTTGAAGGCATATTTCTGAGGGATTGTTTGCTGTAATACAAAACCATATACAACCAGCCCCTGTCAAACAAAAGTTTGTCAGCAATGGGCAATATTTTATCAATAACACTCCAACCATTCTCTCCTCCAGCCCAAGCCGAGGCAATCCCTTCACGACCCACTACATCTTCAGGTGTTGGCACATAAGGTGGATTCACAACCATCACATCCACCAATCCTTATAATCGCTTCTCCAATCCTGCCTGGTCGTTATAGACTTCTAGTGGACAATGAGAAAATTTCAGAGATTCCAGTTTGTTATGGCAATTTATGCCGGAACAAAAATATTAATGTGGCCTAAACTACAGAGTGCAGAAATTGGAAAGTAAACATTACTGATATCAAGCAAGTGATCAATAGCATAGAAATATTTACTATTATCTACATCCCTATATGATCGTTAAACAAACTTCCAATTTTGAAAAAATAAAAGTGGCCAACACAAGAAACATGTATTATTACTTTTTTGTTACATTAACAAATTACTCCAAATTCCAATAATCAGCACTATTCCTTTTCCTCACAACAACAACAAGAAGCATGTTTTATAGCATGAGATGGGTTTAACTACATAGGTCCAATTTGTTTCCACTTAATTGCACCTTATTTAGATTAAAATTTGAATTCACATGCTAAGTAGTTGTACTTCAAAAGGTAGAAACTTTTCAAGTTTTCATTTTATTTTCTTTTTCAACTTAAAAATCTCAAAATACTAACGTTGGTTTTTAGAAACTTTTTTTTTAAAAAAAAGATTCTATTGAAGCAACACTTATACAGCCAATATACAACACAATTGCTTCTCAAATCTAAACGAAATTGCTTGTCACTTCAGCAGCATATTGTGCCTTACGTTGAAAACCCCTCCCATTTCTTATGCATCTTCTTACCTCTAACTTTGTATTTTAGATGTTCAAAATTGAATGTTTAATTTTGAACTTCTAATCAGCAGCATTTACAAGTTAAACCTGAGATCATCAGCTAAACAGTTTGGGGAAATGCAGTGTCCTCTTAGATTTATAATACAAAATTAAAACTTTTAAATCAATTCAAGGTTAAAAGGGCAGTTAGGATTACCAGGAGAGCCAAAAGTAGAACAACCAATCCGAACAAATAGTATGCTTAATCTGCAATTAAAAATTTGACAAAATTTAGAGCCCTAGCAACAACTTCATGCACATGAACTGTAATACTAATCAATTGAAGGTTTTTCACTTTGACATTTTATCAAACACTTGGTGAATATACTATATAACCCAATTTCAACATAACCCATTTCCCTGAACCACCCATCAATGAAAATCTCTTATTTAGCATATCAAATTCTCATTAAAAAAAATTAACATCAATCAATTAAGCCCTAAAAGAACAAAAAAAAGTTGACATAAAGACAGAGCGAGAGAGATCAGAAATAGAAGCCCATGATAATCAGGAGTCGCATTGTCTACAGCTGAAACAACATTCAACTCAGGATTCAGGGCCAGAGGATTTTGGCCTCTGCCTCCCCTTCCTCCACGACCACCTGACCCAAATCGACCTCTAATAGGTGTGTAAACCTTCGAATCAGCCATACCACCACCAACTCCATGAGAATGGACACTCCCAGCCATCGGAAGGGCATCAAGCTTCGATACCAGATTTCTCGTCCTAGCAAAAAAGAGGCTGTCTGGGATATACTTATTCGCGATCTACAACAGTTTCCTCACTCCCCTCCATTTCTACGATGTCTGACCACCGAGATTGGAGAAGATTTAGGGCAGAAACTGTTAGGGTTGAAGTTTCCTCCTGGATAAGATCACACGGGATCAGATCCTCCCGATCCACACCAGACATGGAAGCCTTCATACGATTAAGCTCCTCTCTTAACTCCTCAAAGGGCTTCAACTGAGTAACTCGCCGAAACGGATCCCCCTGTGCAACCTCCACCGAAGCTAACCCCAACGATGCAACCCCTTTCTCTCTTTCATTCATTGCCAGAATATCACTCGTCAACCCTTCCATAGATTCCACAAAGGAAGAAGGGTTCAAATTGGCCTCACATACACAAAGGCTACTCACTGGTTCTAAATTTTTTTAATTTTTTTTTCTGTTTCCCAGGTACAAAACGACGTCGTTTTTTGATTGGCGACCAAATTTTTTTTGTCGCCAAAAAAATATGTTTCCCCCCTCCATGTTTCAAATTTCCCTCCACAAACTTTTGGCGACCAAAAGACCAAATTAGTCGCAGAAAAAGTACCTTCGCCGACAAACTTTTTTAGTGGTCAAATCTCAATCAACGACGACTAAAATATTAGTCGCTAAAAGTACAAATTTGGCGACTAATTTTTTTTGGTTGCTGAAAATAAGTTTTTGGCGACCAAATTTTTGGTCGCCAAAAAATATGTGACATTCCGCGACCAAATTTGTAGTTGGTCGGCAAAAGTATACCACTTTCTGCAACCAACTCATTTTTTGGTTGCCAAAATATAACCTTCTGCGACCAATAATATTTGGTCGCCAAAAATAATGATCATTCGCGACTAATTAATATTTGGTCGCCAAATGTCATTTTTTGGCGACAAAAATTTTTTTGGTCAGCAAAAATGGTCGGCAATTGTGTAAATTCTTGTAGTGGCATTTTGGTCCTTAATATTTAATTGTGTCAATTTGATTTCTAATATATAAAAATGTGTTTCAATTTAGTCCTCCGAGTGTGTTTATTAACAAAGTTAGATTGGGAGATTAAATTGAAACACTTAATATACATATGAGATCATATTGACACAATTTAAATATTAAAGGCTAACTTGAAACACTTTTTATATTTTGAGAATCAGATTGATATAATTTAAATAATGGATATTAAATTAAAATATTTTAATATATTAAAATCAAATTGGCAGAATTTAAATGTTAATAACTAAAGTAACATACATTCATTACTTTGATGATCATACTTTTAGGGAAAAAAAAAAAAAAAAAAAAACAACTTGTATAAACTGCTTCAATTATGGTAAGGAAGATGAGATTGACACAGGTGCGCATCAAATAGAATCCTGTATTTTATCCTGAAATTGAGATGAAAATGTGGACTTGTGTGACTTCGAAGCCTTCCTTTCTAGTCCTCGTTTTGAACCTGCAAGCCTGTATCCAGTGAAGCACCCCTTCCTTTCTTGTACTTTGGTCTTGTTTGGGGATTTGATTATTTTAATTTATTTTTGAATTATTTGATTATTTTAACTTGATTAAAAACATTTATTTGAGAAGATAATTAATTTTTTTATAATTAATTAGATGATTATAAAAAAATTTAAAATAATTATAATTTAAATATAATATTTTAATTTATTAATTATTTTAATTCATTTTATTTTTATTGACTGTTTTAACTTAAAAAAAATAATCAATAAAATCACTTCCCTACCAGGGCAAGTGGAGATAGACTAAAAGAGAAAGATCCCACTGTTCACACTAACACTCTAACATCACATCAATCACATGCGTATAATTTAAGGTTTTAATAATTATACGAAACCGTGTAAGGTTTCTCTCTCATTTTGATTATAACTAAACTCTATATGTGTGTTATCCATTTTTGACTTTCCACCTTTCAATCTTGACTTTTCCACTCGCAAATGTCCACCAAGTGGATCGAATTTTTGTTTTGTTTTGTTTTTGTTTGTTGTTTTTTTGTCTTCTTCGCATGTGCGTATATTATATAGTGGTGCCTGTTTATCTACACGATAGGTGTGAAATATAAATTTAATTTTGATTTAAATATTTATATGCTATGCATTGCTCATTATTTCTCAAACTGAAAATCTTGCATTATATATATATATATATATTAGAAGTGTTAATATATACTATGCATTTGTATCTGATTATTTTATTTCAGAAAATAAGATTATAGGGTAATAGGATTATATTCAAAATTTGCGATTAGAAGTTGAGAAATTTAAAAAAGAAAAAAAATGAATTAAATGCATAATTGCCCATGAAAATGCTATAGGAATATTTTGAAAAAACCTAAAAAAATGATATATAAACACCAAGTCTGATCTTCACATATATCATCGTCCTAAATAGATTGCAGTTATAATTTGTATAAAATATGCTTCTCCTTTCCTGATTGTGAATGTAGACTTTTGTCACCCAGAGGGGAAAAAAAAAAATTATATGGAAAAAAAAGGAAAGAATAACAAATAAAATAAAGAAAAAGTAATAATTTGGTATAAGTTTTGAATTTTTTTTTTATAAACTTTCTCATAAATTCATAATTATTTTGGAAAGTTATTACTTATTTGTAATTTCGCCAAAAATAAATGGATTGACCAAAAAGAGTAACAAAATGTGGAGAATCTAAAATAATTACAATAGACATGCAAAAATTATAAATTTGTTATAAAATGGTGACAAACAAATATAGGACCTGTTTGGTACAACTTTTATGAGGTGATTATAATTTATTTTAATTTGAGAGTCTGTATCCGACTATTTTGGTACAACTTCTGCTTATAACTTATTATACAGAAATAACTTAAATAAGTTTTAAAAAAAATTGATTTGTTTGAAAGTTGAGGATATAGGCGACTTTAGCTTTTACTTTCTTATTATCAACTTTTAATTTAAAACAAGCTCTACCAAACAAGGGCATAAAATTACTAAATTACCCTTCAATTCCTCTCTTCTGTCTTTCCTCTCCAAGTGTAAATCCTAACCCATCACCAACCACCCTACATAAGGTCGAGTAACCTTTGCCTTCACCCTCCATGGCGTCATCTGCCCCTCCCTCGCCGCTACTAACCCTTCCTGCACGATATTATTTTAGATTGTGACTCGAGTTATATGTGTGACATTTTCAAATGTAGAGTGTTAAAACATTCAATTCAAAACCAATTACAAATGAGCATAAGGCTTTATGAAGTATAATAACCAAGTTTAAATAATTTAGAAAGACGGTGCAAAACAAAAAGTTCACATAAGCCATAAAACTAAAAATGAACAAATTATGATCCTCTGTAATGCACTATGTAGTGCCATGTCAACTCGGATAATAATTAAATTAGATATAAAAATGAATATATTATAAATTATACTTGTAATTTTGCCTCCTGTATCGAATTAGTTCTAAAGTTTCAATTGTATCATTTTTTATTTTTTACTTTTTCATGCTTTGTCAGTCTAATTAATAATATCAATTAAGAAATTAAATAAAAATTAAGTGCAAACCACGGCAAGAAAATACGCTTTTGACTACTAAAAAATTAATCACCAAAGTATCATTTTTAGTAGCCGATTGTCAATGGTGACTAAAATTTTTAGTCGCCCAGTTAGTCATCGAATGCTTGTTGGCAATAGTATTTGGTGACTAAATTTTTTTTACTTGCTAATTCTCTTCTCTTTGGCTACTAAAACAATGTTAGTCCCTAATTAGTACCTTTTGGTGACGAAAAGTCGCCAAAAGTTCTAAAATAATGAAATTCTCTTTCAACGATTAAAATATTTAGTCACTAATAGGTTTTGGTCGCAAATAATACTACATTCAGTGACTAAATATTTTAGTCATCTTTTTATGTGACTATTAGCTACCAAATAGTTTAATCAGCATTGTTTTTACGAGTAAGCATTTTAGTTGCCAAAAGACTGAATATTGGATGCAATGTTTTTTTCATGACTAAAATATTTGGTCGGCAAAAGTCTTTTGTTTTTTTTGTTACTAAATATTTAGTCACTAAAAACTTTTGTTTATA